GAGCCATATATGACATATACATTACAACCAATTTCAACAAGGGACTTTAAAAATATAAAGGAAACAGTAGTTACATATGGGATACACTCCACATACGTAAGACAAATGTTAAATTCGTGGTCTACCTCACATAGAATCATTCCAGATGACTGGCATCAATTAATTGCAGCTGTTCTAGAATATAGCCAGCAGTTACAGTGGAAAAGCTGGTTGAGAGAAGAGGCAAGAGATTTAAAACAACAAGGTAAACTCAGAGGTTTTGTGATCTGCCAAGATCAAATACTTGGTGAGGGATGTTTCGCTGACAGGAATGTACAAACCCCTTATAATGAGCATACAATATCCCTATGCCGTACATCAGCTCTAAATGCTTGGGGAAAAATGAAAGATAGTCCATTTTTAAAAAAGGGAAATTCAGGAGTCCTTGAATGTTTCAACCTGAACACACTCACACCCATCCTTCTATACCAAATTTGAACATGCTCACATCATTCTATACCAAAGGCCTTTACAGTTTTGCTGTGAACAATTGTGGGTTGTTTTTTTTCTTGATAACTTGATCTTTGCTTCCCCCTAAGGAAACAGCAGGCCCGCCCGACATCTGAAAAGTCAGTTAGACCTGACAGTTGGCTGTGTGGTTTTTCTAGTAGATCTTTAGTGGAGCCTTTCCTACATTCTTTCTGACTCCAGAATCAAGACAAAAATGTCATGCACTTGGAAGTGACCCCAATAACAAAGAATTGAGGATATCCTTGGTTATCTCACTTCACCAGATATGCCCCACCCTCCAGAACTGTGAGCCAGTTAAATTTCTTCCCTTTGCAAATCACTTCATCTGTGGTACTCTGTAGTAGCCCTGTGGCGTGGACTAGGAGACTAAGCTAGTACTCATTAAGCACCTGTCTTTGTTGGTGTTTTTGTCTTGACTTTTTCAATTAAGGCATCCTCGCCTTCTGAAAATGGATGATGTCATCTGCTTTGTCAACGGCCTGACTTTAGATCAGGATGCCCCTATGTGCTGGGAGTGGAGGGCAGAGATCTTTTCTAGAGAGGACCAACAGCCAGCCTGTTGCAAGTTGGGAAGGCAGGAGTAAGTGAAAAGAAGGTATTAAGAACTCACTGATCAATAGGGCAGTGGCGGCGCACGCCTTTAATCCCAGCACTCGGAAAGGCAGAGCCAGGCAGATCTCTGTGAGTTCAAGGCCAGCCTGGTCTACAGAGCAAGATCCAAGACAGGCACCAAAGCTACATGTGTTGGACTATTTGGTCCCCAGTTAGTGGAACTTTTGGGGAAGGGTGAGGAGGCGTGGCCTTGGAGGAGGTGTGTCACTATGTGTGACTTTGGAGGTTTCAAAAGTTTCCCAGCATTCCCAGTGTTCTCTCTGTCTCCTACTGTAGATGAAGATGTGAACTAACTCCCTGAGCTTCCTGCCTCCATGTCTTCACTCTGCCCTTACGGACCTTAACCCTCTGAAGCCAAACGGCCAATTCAACACTTGCTTTTTGTTTCGAGACAGGGTTTCTTAGTGCAGTTTTGGTACCTGTCCTGGATCTCACTCTGCAGACCAGGCTGGCCTCAAACTCACAGAGACCCACCTGCCTCTGCCTCCCAAGTGCTGGGATTAAAGGCTTGGGACACTGCCACCTGGCAAACACTTGCTTTTTTAAGTTGACTTGGTCATTGATGTTTTATCACAGCAATAGAAACCCCAACAAGTGTGGTGAGGAAACTTAGGAAATGGCCTTTTTAAAACCTACCAGACACTTTAAGCATCCAAATCTAAAATGACTTCAAGCTTCTCAGTGTGGGCCTAGGATTGTATGTTAGAGCCTCCAGAACTGGAGTAAAGCACCTCCCAAGGGTGTCCTTTCACGGACAAGAGTGAGGGCGGGTCTTAAAGAGTGTGTAGTTGTCTTGTTATCAGAGCCTTCTGACCTGGGTGGCCAGCATCCCCCTGCCCTGCCACCCTGCCTTGCAGCTCTGGGAGATGCTTCTGGTGCACTGACAGAAACAGAAGGTAAGTCAGTGAGAGGCTGGCATGCTAACGACTATGGAGAACCAGAAAGGAGGAGGAGGAGCCTGCAAGCTATCTGGATTTATAAGACTGAGAGATGAGCAGGCGAGCCTAGAGCACAGGGGCATGGTGTCTGTTATTCTCCATGTTACCTTGGTCACAGGGTCCAGAATTGTGCAGGTGACGTTTTGATGAGAAAAAAGAAGTCAGGCTAATCAGGGCAGGGGTAAAATCGTGGTGTGGTGTGGTCAGTTTTATCTTGGGAAAAGCCCTCTGGAGGTTTGGGAAATTCTGTTCAGCCATCCACAAGGTCATCATGGCGATCGAGGAGGCAACTGAACTATCAAGTCCTGGATTGTCAGAACGTGACCCAAGAATGGAGTCCTGCAAGGGGAATTCTGAGTGCTCATGAGAAAACTCCAAGACAACAAGACAAGAGTCTTCTGACCTCAGTTTCTTCAAAAACACAGACTTGTTTTTGGAATGTCCTGTTGTGCTTCTCCTGGGTGTAGCAGACAGGAGTGAGCTACTTCAGACCTCGAGTTACAACTGGCTGTTGTTGGTTATACATTTCTGTGGAAAAACATGTTTTTGCCACGTGCAGCTTGTCCTGACGATTGCATACAGCTTGAACTCATGAGAACTTGACTCACGTGACCTTTCTTAACTGTCAGAGTATAAATTGTCTGGTGCTCTGAATAAAGTTGGCTGTGGTGTGAGACTCTAGTCCGCCTCATTTTTAGGCTCTGCTCTCCGGGTCCCACCGTCTCTAGAGTGGAAAACACTGCATGAAGTGTAGCTACTTAGAAACTACTCGAGTCCTGCTAAGCTCTGCTGTTTCCCACTGACTTTGGTTATGGTCAGTGGAAATACATAAAATCTTTCAGACCCTTAATGCCTAAGAGTCCTGTCTTGTCCTAGAAGGAAGCAGATATGTAGGAGAGGTATTCAACAGAGCTAGCTACCATCTTTCTAATAAACCCCCTTACCCCCTACTACAATGATTCTAGTTGTATTTTTGTCACTTTGGAGTAGGGAGGTGACATCAAGGTGGGTGAAGCAGCCTGTACGGCCAGTCAGAAAAGTTCAGTTAAAGTGGTAAGGAAAAACTGCACAAAAGCCAATGAAAAGCATAGGCACTAGTTCTAGAACACATTTCTAGGGAAATTATTTTTTTCAGGGACTCACTCATTAGCCCTCTATGAGACTAGAATGCTGGAGTCTAAACGGTGCTGAGACTGCTCTGTGATTTTGGTAAAGGCATGGCAGAGGTAGCTGCCGGTTAGGATATCTGAACCCCAAGCCTAGGTTTTTAGAGGCCGCTCGTGCTGCCTGGCCTGTGTGAATTATACATGTGGTGTGGGCATCAAGTTTCTGGGATGTGCTAGGGTCTTTGGTTACTAGAAAACAGGCCCAGGTGGAGGTAGATGAAAGATACCAAATAGCCTACCACGCTCACGTCTGCTGTGGGGGTCCCGGTGGTGGCAAGCTCATCTGCACAGGTCTCCTCCACTGAATTTTCTGGGGTGCCTTTGGGAACAGCATCCTGAGAATTCCCACTGCCCCCTTCAGTGGTTCCTGGTGCACCCTCTTTACAGTATGGCTGGAGCTGGACGGGATCCTCTTCTAGGCCCTTGGCTGGCTCCTCCCTGGGTTTCAGGCATTGGACCAGGAGTCTCCAGGCCTCAGTGTGACAGCCTTCCAAGGCCTGGAGCTGCGTCACTGCATGGTGGGCCTTGGCTGCCCATTCCCACCGAAGCCGGTCCAGCAAATGCAACCCCAGCTCCTCTGGGTGTTCTTGGAGCACAGGGACCCTCTTGGCTACCTCCTTAGTGAGCATGAGCATGCTCTCTAGAGACACAAGAAGGTCTTCCTGGAAGGATCCAGACTCTTGACCTCCTGCTATGATTCCCTGCACAGCTTGGATGACAGACAGCATCCTCGTCTGGGAGCGCTTGCCGACAGCATCTTGGAACATATGCTCATAGACAGCATTGATGCTACTCAGGTAGTCTGTCAGGGCCTTGGCTCGAAGGCTGAGTTCCAAGCAGAGAAGCTCAAAGCGTGTGGAGAGACTGGGACATGGCTTGGGGGAGGAGACCAAGATGTGTACCACCTCCAGCAATGCATCTGTGAGTACATGAACTTCCCCACACAGAAAGGAGACCTCACCCTTCACCTGCTCATCCCCACACAGAACGCTAGACAGCTCAGCAGCCTCCTGTAACCTTTGAGAAACATCTGCTGCCTGATCTAACCCTTCCTGCAAACCTTTCTGGTTCTTCACAGCTTGCTGCAGGGGCAGTAGAAACAGGCCTGGTCTCCTGCTGAGTCTCTCCATGCACTGCATCAGGTCCTGGACAGCTGCTGCCCATAGAAGGCACCCACTGCCAATGTCTTCTTCCCTCAGCGTGGAGGCTTGGAGACCATCAGAGGACAGAACTTGGTCCAACAGCTGTTGAGCATGGGTCTCTGTTTTTTCCAATCTGCTTTGCAGCTCTAAAAGCACTCCTGGGTGCTCCATTGGGTCAGGGCTCTTCACCGGGCCACTTTTGCCTGCTAGTTGAACCATTGAGGCCAAATTCTGCTGAAGCTCCATAAACGCTGCCATGCTTCCTGGTAATTCAGCCGTTAGGCTATGGAAAAATAGTTGTTGACACAGACGGTACCAGTCACCAGCCCTGGCTACCAGAGCCTGCCTGGCTTCCCTGGTCCACCCAGATTGCTGAAAAGCCACTCCCAGAAGCCTGCTACTTCTAGTATTTGTGCTATGGACTTCCTCCGTGGCTAGGTCAGTAATCAAAGGTACCACTGTTGAAAATTCATGTGGTTTTGTTGTTGTCCTTTCTGGCCCCAGGGGTTCTTCCTCAGCCTGGATTTCTTGGGCTGTATTCACAGATGACTCCCGCTCTGGCAAGTTGGTGCGTGGTGAGGTCACTACCCGGTGATCCTGGTTCTCCATAGCAGTGATGACTTTGTTGACAGCAAGGAATGGGGAGCCCCACCCCTGTTTGCAGGGGTCAGGGACCAGTGTGTAGGAAAGTTGTTCTGCTGGTAGGAAAGAGCTGTTTGTGCCACTGTCCTCTAACCCAGGTGCCTGCTGCTGGTATTTCATTGCGGGAGCTGTGAGTTGCTGGAGGCTGGGGAGAATGAAATAAGGCCATCGCGTGGCAATATCAAACCTTTGGACTTGGAATCGAAGCGGGCTGAGGATGTCTGGGTGGTTGGTCCCATCCAGCCCCTCATGGACTTGCTGGGCTGAATAGATGAGATGTTTTGCCATCGTTAAAAAGGCACCTGCGTCCTGAGCGCTGTCTCGACCTGTGCTGCCATCAGTGGCTGCAGCCAGCGTCAAGGAAGACTGTGCCAGCTGCTGAACCACGACTCTCATCCCGTTTCGGAAAATGGGATCTGGGTCTTGACCCACATACCTGCTCATCACCTGTACTATGTGTGTGGCTCTTCCGCGTAAGAACGTCACAGATCTGGAAAACTCTCCGGACGCTCCGCTCCTCAGAGCCCTTGTGTACAGGTTCAAGTGTTCAGTCATTTCCTGGATGGACAAACTCAGGAATTCAGGAATATCGAGAACGACATCAAAGCATGCCAAGAGGTGTTCGGATTCCCTGGCCCAGGCCTCAAGCAGTGCCTGCAGGGTGGCAGGGCTCCAGTCCAGGCCACGTGTTTGGGGACCTTGGGAAAAGAGTTCCTTCGCTTTGACCACAAGCCCCCAAAGACCTGCCACGGCAGCCTCCACATCTCTGCCGGTTTGCTGTTGGGGACAGCAGACCCAAACCAAGCGTGCCACTCGGATCATTTGCTTCGCTTGGTTGTGGAAAGCATCAAGGAGAAGCCGGAGAGTCTCTGCCAAGGCTTCGGTTTTGCACTCAGACCTGATAGTGGAAGTCGTCAAGGCGGCCTGGACCAGCCTCTCTAGAGGACTTTGGGTATCTGTGAACGTGTCCAGAATCTGGCGCAGTAACCCAGCTCGGACTCCCTGAAAGAGCGCATCAGTCGCGGCCCGCAGAGCTTCGCATTCTGCGCCTGAGATGGGCTGGGGAGACCGGTGCACCCCGGGGTGGAGCTGCAGCAGCCGGTGGCAATGGGACACTAGGTGCATCCTCTCCCGAGGCGTGGAGCAGGCGGCTAGGCGCAGGCAGTGCCACACCACGGCGGCCAGTGGCGCATCCAGCAGCCCATCACGCAGGTGGCTCGGCCCGGGCTCCTCTAGGACCTGTCGCAGCTTCTGCAGACGATGCGCCAATGCGCCATTCTGAGAGCGCGCACCGTGCCCTGCGACGCCGGGCTGCAGCACAACCAGGAGCTCTCTGAGGCTCTGCCTGGTCAGAGCATAGACACGGCGCCGTGAGGCCACCAGCTGTGGATCGTACGGGTGCCGGAGGTGGCCGCGGGTGGCTGCGAGCAGCGCTGGGATGCAGCACCCTAGTTGGTGGCGAACTCGACCCAGGCGTTCGTCCTGGGCCCAGCGCGTGGTCAGGCCGCCCAGTTGCAGCAGCGCAGCCGCCAGGTCAGCGAGTGAGGCGCGCAGCGACGTGGCGTCCTCTGCCGCCTCCAGAGCCTCCAAGCATGTCAGACACCAACCAGCCACTGGCACAGTCTTCCTCACCATTGCTGCGTCTTCGAGGAGCAAGATCTGCTGGGGCGGTCACAGGAAAGAGACTTGAAGATGACTGAACATTCTTGGAGCCATGTAGCTTAAGCCTAGGAGACCTTACACTGTCAGTTAACCTGAACGTAACCAAAAACAGGCAAATACAGGCACCGTCTAGGTAACTGGACCCGAGAGCGCACACTCCAGAATTGGAGGTTTGCGTGTGTGCGCATTTCTTTGTAAACCAGAGGTCTGAAGTAGCTGCCTTCTCTCCATATTTACTGTGGGGTCTTCCCTGTACTGTTCAAAGACGGATTATTATTTAGATGAGAACGATGGGCTGGAGCTCTTCTCTGAGACAGCTTTTTAGCCTGACTCCACCTCTCCCAGACAGCTCCATCCACTCCCTACCCCTGGGGCTGGTACCCACGTCAAAAGCCTTTCTCTCTTTCATTCGCCGCCAGCAGGTGCCCCAAACCCTCTGGTTCTGCCCCTCACCTTCCCCTACCACGTTGCAACTACCTTCCAATAAGGTCTGTGCAAACACCTGTCAATAAACCACACTACACAAGTTATACAACACACAACAGCAAAACATTTTGAGGGATCTGTGCTTGAACCAGGAGCAATATTCCAAGCTAAAAGTTGCGCACTGGGGCCAGAGAGACGGCTCAGCAGTTAAGAATACTGGCTGCTCTCCCAGAGGACCTGGGTTTGATCCCCAGCATCCACAAGGGGCACACAACTTTCTGTAACTCCAATTCTAGAGTATCCTATGCACTCCTCTGTCCCCCTCTACCTCCCTCAGGCATTTTACAGACATGGTGCATAGACACACATTCAGGCATACACTCATACACATAAAATAAAAATAAATAAAATCTCCAAAAATCAATTGAAGTTGTATTTAGCAAGGAATGTGGGTCAGGGTGAAAAGTTGAGAGTATTTGGAAACTGGGAGGTTGTACCGGCCCATTACGGCTTCAATTTAGCCCTGATTAAATTGGTAATGAATTCTGTGGGGGGATCTTGGCAAGCACCTGGGCAGATTTCAAATCAAGGGACAGTCAGGAGTTCCTGTGGGAATGGCATAGCCATTAGTGTTCTCCAGCAATGACCAAGCAGTCAGCTAGCTCTGAGAGAGATTCACCTTGGTAGTGTCCACCAGGATCTGCTGAGCGGTGGCCACTAGCTCCTCCCAGTGATGCTGACTCTCTGGCTGCAGGGGGAGCTTCTTCTCTGTTACCATCAGCATGTTCCTCCCAGAGAGGCTTAGAGACTCCGCCATGGTCTGCATTTCCTCCCGAAACCACTCCTCCTCGGAGTCAGCTGCCAGCCTGAACAGACACATTGCACTTACAATGTTATCACATCAGAACCAAGAAAACCACATGGAAATGAGGATACACAGAAGGTACAGAGCACCAGACGGCCATTCAAGGGAACCTTGATGACTGTGCTTAGGGGCCAAAGACACAATGCTGAGCTAAAAAACAAACCAACCAACAAACAAAAAACTCTCTTCAGCCTTTCTTCAAGTGTCTTAGTTTGTGAGTTAGAGTTGTTCCCTCAATATATGTCTCAGCCTTTACAAACGTCACACTGTTAGGTTAAACAGGCTAAGGACAGACATCTAGGCAGAGAATTCTGAGTCCCAGGCTTTTCCTCTCAGCAGCCTGTAGACAATTGATCCCAGCATATTCAGAGTTTCAGGTAAGAAATCGGTGGAGGCCACTGTCTTAGCTACTAGAAATAAGATAAAGCCGCCATGCTTGGCATAGTGGTGCACACCCATAATCCCAGCTATTTGGGAGGCAGAGGCAGGAGGATCACAAATTCACAACATGTGTGGGCCACATAGTGAGTTTGTGGCCAGCCTGGACAACTTACTGAGAACTTGTTTCCAAAGTTGAAATAAAAAAGGCTGGTGATACAACTCAGTAATGCAGTATTTGCCTAGAGGTGCCAGGTTCTCAGTTCAATCCCCAGTACTGGGGCACAAACTAAAAATAAAGAATGTTGCTGTGGGTATTCATGCCTTGTTCTTTGTGTGGACCCAGGATTCCATTCCTCTGGGATAAATGCCTAGTAACAACAGGTATACATTCAACTGGACCCAGGATTCCATTCCTCTGGGATAAATGCCTAGTAACAACAGGTACACATTCACCTGAACCCAGGATTCCATTCCTCTGGGATAAATGCCTAGTAACAACAGGTACACATTCACCTGGACCCAGGATTCCATTCCTCTGGGATGAATGCCTAGTAACAACAGGTATACATTCAACTGGACCCAGAATTCCATTCCTCGGGGATAAATGCCTAGTAACAACAGGTATATGTTTAACTTTTAGAGAATATTTTCTAAAGTAGTTGCAACATACTGTGTTCTAATCAGCAATGAGAGAGTTCAAGTTCCTACATATTCACATCAGCACTTGAAATGGTGCTTCATTTTAAACATCCCAAGAGTTGGTAGTCATCATTGAATAGGTAAAACCAACTCCAGACTTTTCTTGAACATCAAATGAGCCTTCTGCAGAGTGTTTGAATGCAAGTTTTGATCCTTGGTGTCATACAACAATCCCTTTCCTTTGAGGATGAACCTGTCTGTGAGGATGATTGATATCATGGATGGAGAACAATCCAGATTAGCAACTTTCTTCACCTGAGGAATGCTGTCCTGCAGCTGATAATGAGATACAAGAGCATGAAGCCAGAGAAAGAATCCATTACTCTCTGAAGATATCTCTTGCTGATCTAGACTACCAAGTACATAGAAAATGTAAAAACCAGGGGTCGAGGAGGTGGCTCCATGAGAAAGTGTGCTTGCTGTTCAAACACAAGAACCTGAGTTGAGATCTGAGTACCCACACAAATGCTGGGTGGGCGTGGCAGCCTATCTGTAACCCAAGGGTTTAGGAGACAGAGACAGGGTGTCTGTAGATGAATCAGCAAATTCCTGGTTCAAGTGAGTGAACCTGCCTCAATTTATAGGGTAGAGAGCGATGAATGAAGACACTCAAATCAGGCTCTTCTCTCCATACACATGTGCACACACATCTGCATACACACCTGTGCTGGGAAATATTATTTTAAGATGTGTTACTTTTTTGCCGGGCGGTGGTGGCGCACGCCTTTAATCCCAGCACTTAGGAGGCAGAGCCAGGCGGATCTCGGTGAGTTCGAGGCCAGACTGGGCTACCAAGTGAGTCCCAGGAAAGGCGCAAAGCTACACAGAGAAACCCTGTCTCGAAAAACCAAAAAAAA